ACTCCAGTATCTAAGGGCACCTTTAATAATATCCTGTGTAAAAGCTTGTCACAATTTTCAGGTATCATCTCACTGATTTGCTTTCACATTGATTACCTTTTAGATTGTTCTCACTTAATCTCTGGATCCCAAAACAGTTTAAAGATGTACCTGATGCTACTTTTCTTCAGGTACATCTGGCAGAATGATGATCAGAAGAGGTGGTGGTGCTATACATCTGCAGCTGCTACAACAGGAAATTCCATGCTGGTGTTTTTGGTACTTTATGCTTATGTACTTGGTGACTCATTTCTCACTGTCATTTCCTTTGGTGATGGCTCCACATGCAGCCTCTCTATCGAACCAGCATTGTGGAAATGATCAACAATTGAGTAGACTGCCACATCCATTCATCCACTGACTTTACAGCCTCCTCCACAAGGAAGTCTTGTTTCATGTGCTCTTGTGCACCTGTGGCACTGTGTAGGCTCACATAATATAGTTGTATTCGGCAGTGAAAACTCCCCTTACCTTATGAGGTAAGAGGGTATTGGGTATTGTAGAGAAAGGCTTTTTTCTACCTTCATATGTCATTGGCTGTACTGACAAAAAGTATTGATCAACTGATGACCCTAATCCAGTGATGGACAACACACAGCTTTCATGCAGCTAATCAAGACTCTCTGTGCATCCCCTGGTTCCTGCCCCTGCTGTGTAACCCAAACAGTTCTGCTGGGAGACCAGTGCTTTAGTGGGCTGTCAGGAGCACAGTTCTCCTAGGAAACAGGGTGCACACTCTACACAGAGATGCAGGGCATGCACAGGGAAGATCCCCATAGCCTAACTAATGGCTTAATTCTGCCCACAGGTGCCTAGATTCCCAGAAGAATTGTTCTAGATGTGGTACCACTATTATTTCAGGAAATGGGATGCTGCTCTCTAATCACTGAAGCTGTCTACCTCTGCCCCAAACAGAGCTCAGAGCTCCTTTTCCTTTCTGAAATTATAGCCTTTTACTCTAGTTACTGATTGACAGACAGGGCTAGCTAGCTCCTGTTACTTTACATACCAGAGAGAAACCCAGTTGACATCCACAAGAACTTCAGAAGTCTAGTTGCACTCTTTCCACATTTTACTTACATGTACCTAGATGCAGCTACCACTAAACTCAGTGGAACTTACTTGCATATATATCCAGGAGGATTATTCTACATAGTCCCACCCCATTTCTCTCTGCCAAACACAGAATAGGCTAATGCATATACTGCTGAGATGGTTAATTTAACACACATCACAGGAATGTTCCCCACTCCCCTTTCCTCTCTGGTCATCTCCCTAATTTCACAGAAACTCTGATTGACTTGATGGTACCATGCCCACTTTCCTAAATGTGTGCAACTTTGTTTTTCCTGCCACAGAAATGATTCATATAGTTGCCATATAAATTCCCAATTAGTGTTGCTGAGATATGTGTGGTAATGGGGGCAGGAGTCACTGCAGTTTTGCCTTGAGGATAATATGGTGCATAACCACATTTGTTTAATCTTCCCAGACTGGGCAGGGAAACAGCAAATAATCCTCATTTTGTTTGAGGACATTGGACTCCCAGAGCAGACAATCTACCTTGAAACCCTAGACTTTTACGGTTACATAGTGGCCCTCCTTCCATCTTGTGGACTTCCCCACAAGTTCCACTACAACCTATTCCTCTGAGTCCTTTCACACTCTGTCAATCTGACCTAATACAATCTCACTGCCTATCTCCAGCCACCCCAAGCCACATACCATCTTCTTAATTTCTCCTCTGTTCCACTTGGGTTCTTGCCCAGTGCATTCCTTCTTTCAGGCTGTGTGTTGATAATGCATGCATAGAGAAAACCTCTCCCTTAAAATAACCCTCCTTACAATAACCCTCCAGTGCTACCCAGCATCCAGGTTTAACCTTGACTTTGCAAAACAATGCCTTTTTTATTTAACAATCAAGAGAAATCTTGGGCAGTTAAATGGCTATTCAGAAATGCCAAACCAGAAGTCATAAAGAAACATTGACCCAAAGGATGGATACCAATCAGCTTTCATGTTCCTTCAAACATGATTGGTCAAGTGATTTCAAATCCAAATATTTAATCTATTGGGCTTGGACAAGGGTTAGGGTTAAGTTATTCCATATTTTATCTCCTGTTTGTTGGAAGCAATAGCAAAACTGCACTCTTTATTCCTTCAGGTTTTGGTATGCTGCATTAACTCAGGTGCAACTCTCTCGTTGCTATAGCAGTGGTTACAGTAAGCAACCTGATTAAATTAGACTGCCAAAAGATATATTTTACTTCTGTATAGCAAAAGCAGAATGACAGCCCCATTTTTTATGGTAACCATCATTCTCTATAATTTCCCACATTGCAAGCTTTTTAAATCATACATTTTATATTTACAATACTTATTTTCTTTAAGCTTCATAATCATATTAAGAAATAAATTTTGCATTTTGTACTCATTCTGACTGACTTTATCCACATGTCATGATAAATGATCTCTGTTCCTTTGTAAGAAGAAACTTGTACTTGAGATTCACCATTTTTGTTTAATTACTTTCAAATCTGCTGACTGTACAACATGCAGTTGATATATTACAATAGAGCTTTTTGGTCTTTGAGCAAGTCATTCCATTAATTTTGATTAGTACTTTTAGAGAGGCTGTTGAGTATTTGGCATAGTATTACATTCCAGTTACACTGAAAAGACAAAGCTGATTTGAAGCATAGTCCAGTAACAACAGGCCACTTTTACATTAATTATATCAGAGCAGAATCAGTGATGTTCCTTCTACAGGAGAAAAAAAGAGTTTTATCCAAACTACAGTTTGCAGAGTACTTCGGGGTTGTGTTGTGCATTTTCATTGCCTGTGCTCCCACCCCATCCCCCATGCTGTTTTACTTAGTTGTGCCTTACTGTCTTGTATGATGGTAAATATGAGAATTATATCTCTTATTTAAAAAAAAGTGAAAATTCAGGCCACTCTCCTCTGGATACTCTCACCAAATGAAGTGAGGCAGGTGGCTACAAGGAGAGGGCCTTTTCAGTTGTGGTACCACTGTGCGGAATGCCTTGGACAACGTTACTCAACTGGCATCAATACTGTGGTTGCTGTTTTGTCTGGTGAAGGCCTTCATATTCTTCCAGGTATTGCAGTCCTTTAGTGTTCAGTGTTTTTAAAATCAATTACTTTATTTTTGATCCTCTGTAGAGCTACTATTTCTTACTTTGGTTAAATGTAGTGTTATGCTACATTTTAATGGCTGTGAACCAAGTACAGTGGTTGACATGCATGGGGTGGCGGAGGGCATTAGATTGTAATTAGATTCTGAAACTAAAAATGTAATGAAATTTGACAAACCGAAATCCTTTCAGTTTAGCATGTTTCATGTTCACTCAAGTACCAAAATGTTAAGAAATTAGAACTGTAAATGCCTATGTTATGTAGGTAATGTATTTATGACCTAGTCGCCGGTTCAAATCTGCACAACGGAGTGAGTTCCCGTTGCTCCATCCCAGCTTCTGCCAGCCTTGCAATTCGAAAGCATGCAAATGCAAGTTGATAAAAAGGTACCACTTCAGTGGGCAGGTAACAGCGTTCCATGCACTTTGGTGTTTAGTCATGCCGGCCACATGACCACGGAGACTGTCTGTGGACAAACGCTGGCTCCCTCGGCTAGGAAACAGAGATGAGCACTGCCCCCTAGAGTCAGGCATGACTGGATGTAATGTCAAGGGGAAACCTTTACCTTTTATCCTATGCAGTGGCTAGTTCAGATGTCAGCCATGCCATGGAGCTGTAGCTATGGGTGACAGAGTGACTGTCCCAGATGTTTCTATTTGCTGGAATAGATATATGGATGTAACTGAGGTTAGTGTATGCAACTCCTGATGGAATTCTGTTGAGATGCTCCATTTAATGCAAATAATCCTGCCACCTATTCTTTACTTTATATTTCTCATTCCACATAACTGCCAAATGCTTTCTTCTCAGTTCCTATTACAAGTCTTTCATTTTCTGATTGTTTATTGCATTGCGACTTTTAATTTCTCTAGAAGGGTCATGTTAGCCCTCAGTATTTTCTCCACAGCTTCCTCTCTCTCTTGGATAGCCAGCTGAATAGGAGCTTTCAGCGTCTCAAAACACTGATTCAATTTATGTTTTGTCACTTAATGCTGCTGAAGTGAACTCCTGTAGTTAGTATTGCATACTCTCCTTGTGGCTATTCAACTGCCATGGAATTTCCTTCACAAATCCTCCTGGAAGAAACAGGTTTTTTAAATAGGTACTGTCTGGGTGATTGTCTAGCTGCGGGTGGGGAGTTAAGATCAGGGCACAGATTACCGGCTGCAAGGTTCTGTTTCTGACCTTAGATCTGGGAATCCAGCATGACCTTGATACTGTCTAGTGGGGCGTAAACTTGCTAGCCTTATTACATAAATCCTCTACATATCAAAAGCTTGATGTCCAGAAGCCTCCAAACTTTTGTCCAAATATATCTGTATCAATTTGTTCGTCCCCTCTGGGGGAGATACTATGACTTCATGTGATACTATGATACTATACTTTGAATTCATCCAATTCTGATTGCTGATTTCCTCAGTATAGATAATAAAAAGACATCTGAAGGTTTGGAAGGTGAAACAATGTTCCACTTAGGTCTTAATCAGAGTAAGGTGCTTATCTGAAGCTTCAAGCCAAAACAAATTCCAAACATTTTTCCTGTGCACCCTTCTAATGGAAGCCTGCATTTTTCAGCAATTTGTTTGTCATACTAATTTGGTTTCTCTTGTGATTTAGTTTCTACTGAAGCCTAGTAAGACTTTTAAACTGATAGGAAGTATCCTGTTTGCTAAATTAAAATACCTAGATTTAAATTTCCATAATATGTGTGAAAAATGAAAAATGAATTAGAAGACCATTTCATAGCCTTTCAATATCTTATTGCAAACATGTATCTTCTCGGAAATGAACTTTTTTTTACTTTTAAAAGAAAGAGAACAATCCATTCTGTAATTAGAGTTAGAGTTTTAAGAAATCTTATGAAAGTTTAGGACCAGTGAAGTAGAATTCTTCACCTATATTTTTGAGAATATATATTACCACCTACCTTACATTCCCACTGTTTTCAGTGGGAGACCTAGCTACTCCTCTGCTGTCTTTAATTTCCTTGCTCGCACTGGTATGCATTTTCAGACACTCTGCTGTCTCTTCGATTGTTCAGAATTGCTTCATTTAAGTCAGATAAAAAAAACAGGCTATGCAAATAAGTGAATAGATAGAGTCACAGAGTCCAAGCTAATAACTAATATAATGAGAATACATCATGCATCCCCTTCATGGATCACTGCCTTGATGTGGTGAAGGGGCTTGTATAGCTCAATGAAGTTATGAGCTATGCCATGTAGGGGCACTCAAGATGGACAGGTAATAGCAGAGATCTCTGACAAAAGTTGGTCCACTGGAGAAGGATATGGCAACCCACGCCAGTATCTTTGCCATGAAAACCCCATGGACGTAACCCCATGAAAACCCCATTAATAGAGCCAGAAAGAATGAAGCAACTGAGTCAAAGCCAAAAGGACACTCAGTTGTGGATGTATCTGGTGGTGAAAGGAGAGTCTGATGCTGTAAAAAACAAGGCCACTCAGGCATGACCTAAATCATATCCCTGATGAATATACAGTAGAGGTGACAAATAGATTTAAGGAATTAGATCCGATAGAGTGCCTGAAGAACTATGGATGGAGGTTTGCAACATTGTACAAGTGGCAGCAACTGAAACCATCCCAAAGAAAAAGAAATGCAAGAAAGCAAGATGGCTGGCTGAGGAAGCTTTACAAATAGCTGAGGAAAGAAGGGAAGTGAAAGGCGAGGGGGAAAGAGAAAGATACACCCAATTGAATGCAGAATTCCAGAGAATAGCTTGAAGAGATAGGAAGGCCTTCTTAAATGAACAGTGTAAAGAAATAGAAGAAAGCAATAGAATAGGGAGGATCGGAGATCTCTTCAAGAAAATCAATCTTCAATCCTGGTCATAGGATTGGAAAAAGTCAGTTTACATTCCCATCCCAAAGAAGGGCTATGCCAAAGAATGTTCAAACTACTGCACCATTGCACTCATTTCACATGCTAGCAAAGTTATGCTCAAAATCCTACAAGCGAGGCTCCAGCAGAATGTGGACCGAGAACTACCAGAAGTACAGGAAGGGTTTCGAAGAGGTGGAGGAACTAGAGATCAAATTGCCAACATACGCTATATCGTGGAGAAAACTAGGGAGTTCCAGAAAAACATCTACTTCTGCTTCATAGACTATGCTAAAGCCTTTGATTGTGTGGATCACAACAAATTGTGGCAAGTTCGTAAAGGGATGGGAGTACCAGATCACCTTTTATGTCTCGTGAGAAACCTGTATGTGGATCAAGAAGCAACAGTGAGAACTAGACATGGAACCACTGATTGGTTCAAAATTGGGAAAGGAGTACGGCACGGCTGTATATTGTCACCCTACCTATTTAACTTTTATGCATAGCAGATCATGAGAAAGGCGGGGCTAGATGAATCACAAGTTGGAATTAAGGTTGCCGGGAGAAATATCAACAACCTCAGATATGCAGATGATACCACTCTAATGACAGAAAGAGAAGAGGAACTAAAGAGTCTTTTTGATGCGGGTGAAAGAGGAGAGTGCAAAAGTTGGCTTGAAAATCAACATTAAGAAAACTAAGATCATGGTATCCGGTCATATCACTTCCTGGCAAATAGATGGGGAAGATATGGAGGTAGTGACAGAATTTACTTTCCTGGGCTCCAAGATCACTACAGATGGGGACTGAAGCCAAGAAATTAAAAGACACTTGCTCTTTAGGAGGAAAGCTATGGCAAATCTAGACAGCCTACTAAAAAGCAGAGACATCACCCTGGCAACAAAAGTGTGTATAGTCAAGGCTATGGTTTTCCCAGTTGCAATGTATGGCTGTGAAAATTGGACAATAAGGAAAGCTGAGTGCCGAAGAATTGAGGCCTTTGAATTATAGTGCTGGAGGAGACTCCTGTGAGTCCCTTGGACTGCAAGGTGATCAAACCGGTCAGAGGAGATCAACCCTGACTGCTCTTTCGAAGGCCAGATAGTGAAGATGAAACTCAAATACTTTGGCCACCTAATGAGATGGAAGGACTCACTGAGAAGACTCTAATGCTGGGAACAATTGACTGCAAAAGAAGGGGGATGGCAGAGGATGAGGTGGCTAGATGGCATCACTGAAGCAGTTGGTGGGAGCTTAGGTGGACTCCAGGGGATGGTGGAGGGCAGGAAGGTCTGGAGGAATGTTGTCCGTGGGGTCGTGATGGGTCGTACGTGACTTCGCAACTAACAAGAACCACAACAACAACAACAACATTCATGCTCCAGAGAACCCCAAGGTTTGCAGAAAGAGAAAACTTTGTTTCGGGGGAAAATAACCAATGGGGCAAAATGATTTCCAAACATCCCAATGAGAACCAAGCATGCTCATTAGTCAGAGAATGCTGAGCCTCAGTTGGCGTTAGAGGAGATACCTGGAAGTTGAGTATCCTGAGAAAACAAGTGTGGTTTGGAAATACAGTTGAATGAAATGTGCACTTCCACATGCCACCTGGATAATAAAACATATCCCTGTGGCATGTCAAAAGTGTCCAGTGGGAATCTACAAAATCCTTCATGGATATAAATAATGGGTCCTCAAACTATGGCCTGTGAGCCGGATTTGACCCACCATACCAATTTATCCAGCCCGCCTCAGAGGTTTTGGACTTGCTGCGCCCATACACACGCCCTGTGCGCAAGGAGGCGGCAGCTTGCTCGCACAGAGATTGTTTTGGATTCGCTCAGAAGAAATGATCTACAAGTGAGCAAGCGGCTGCCTCACATGCCCACCATTGCCTCGTGCTGCGTGCCCACCCCCACCTTGCCTTGTCTCCCCTCGCCACATGCGCCCGCCTGCGCCTCGCTTCTCCTTGCCTCACCCGCACACCCTCCCCCTGCCCCCATGCCATCCCCTGGTGAAAAAGTTGCCCTGGTGAAAAAGTTGCCCTGAAAAAGTTCACCATTGCCCTGGTGAAAAAGTTTGAGAAGCCCTGATCTAAATGAAGACTGACCAAACAATGAAAGTGCAAGTGGTTATTCTCCACATTCTCATTGCAAATTATGGCAGTGGACCTCAGATGGCTGCAAGATGTCCTTGGGGCCAGTATGTAGCAGGCCCTGGACAATGCCAGAGAGATCTTCTGGACAGCAAAGAGAAGATTTACTGGAGACAGTCAGTGTTTCTTTGTTGCTCTCACTGCCTCCAATTATATTTGACTATAGACACAGAGGGCTTGATTGTATCCAATAGGAGTTTTCCTCCATCTGCCCTCAAGCCATCTTCTAATATGAGCAATTCTGTCTGTGTGTATAAGATAAACTATAGCAGCAGTGGGCAGGAAATACATCAAATAAACTATAGCGACCATCTTAAAATACATGGACAACCAAATAGTTTTCAGCCTGGCATCAAAAAGAACCTAATGTCAGCACCAGATATACCTCCATCGGAAGGGGATCTATAGTCAGAGTAGTATCACCAACAGTTCTTTCTTGCCTTGTCCCATGTAATGTAATAGTTGGGCCATCCTTTGATGATCTTAAAACATGGGCAGGCTGATCTAGGAAATACTCTTCCAGATATTCTGGCCCCAAGCCATGTAGGCTTTAAAGATCAGTTAAACATTGTGGACAGCAATAGTGAAAGTAAGTGTCAGGAATAAATTTGCCTACATCTATAAATATGTGGTGTGACTGCACTTAGAATATTGAATATATTTCTACCCACTCCACTTCAGAAAGGATAATACAGAGCTAGAAAATGTGCAGAAAATTAGCAGGAAACTGCCTGGGGCTTTTAAGTTTTTAAAAAAGGAGGGATTGTAGAAATTTATAAAGTTATACATGTCGTAGAGAAAATGGATATGGTGAAAAGTTTTCCCATAACACTATATCCTGGGGTCATCCCATGGCCTAATTGGTAGGATATTCAGAACAGGTAGATACAAGGAAGTACTCATTCAGGAAAAGCATAGTTATATTATGGGATTTGTTACCACAAGATGTGACAACGGCTTTGTGCTTGGATGGCTTTAAAAGGGAATCGACAAATTAATGGAGAATTGTTCTAGTCCATATGCAGCATGTTACCTTGAGAATCCAGGACAGCATGCTTCTGAATACCAGCATCAAGAAAGGCTTATTGTCCTTTGTGCTTGTTGCCTTCCCGTAAGATCAGGGTGGCCATAGCAGATAACAGGATATTGAATTACTTGGGCCTTCTTTTGTTATTAAGCTGTTTACTTAAAGCAACCATTGTTAATGTTAAACACAGTTTAGGATTCAGGCTGTGCTGAACTGTCATAAATAATAAACTGAAGTGCAACCTCACAATCTTCTTGCAGCCATGCTGGAGGAGAGAGGGGGATATGCAAGACTGGGGATAGCAACAGCTTGTTCCATCACTAGATACCATGATATTAACTGGTGTTATCTTGGTAGCTGCTTTGAAATCATTTTCACTCTCTTTCAAAAATGCAGAAGCAGGAACTAAAGCCTCCATTGAAGAAAAATCCATATGCAGGTATGCAGAGTAATTAATATTTGCAAAGATAGCTTGTTGAATCTGTGCCATATTCTTAAAGCATGTTGGTTATAGCTCTAATGTATGGGTCATTTAATTGTTTGTTCTTGAAACTTTAGGTATAATGCAACCTAAGAAAATTGACTCGTAGTTAAGGAGGCCCTTAAAAGTCTGGCTGATGTTCTGAGTAAATCCATTAACCACTGAATAATATCTCTGTATCATAAGTTCTTTCTTTATTTGTTTCAAAAATGCCACTTTGCATAATTTTAAAAAGTGAATAATATGAATGTGCATGATAATTTCAGTCTGAGTTAATAATTTGAATTGCTGATTTTCTAATGAAGAAAGTTTTGAGGAAATAAAAAGTAAAATCTTTTCTGGGTTAGTATTGGTATAGATAAATTCTAGGAAATGAAAAGTTAAGTCAACAATCTCAGTTTTGTGAGATTCTGTGATATTACCAAGGTAGTTTCTTTTATAGATGATTGCAGCAATCATGTAATGCATCTTGTTGGGTCTAGCAGACTAAGGAAATAGAATGATCCCCATGTGTACATGCACTCGCAAACATATTGCCCAGTTCACACATCACAAGGCTGCTTAAATGGGGAAGAGCCTACTGCTGGGAACAATAGATGGCAAAAGAAAAGGGACAGCAGATAATGAGGTGGCTAGATGGAGTCACTGAGGCAGTTGGTTTGAGCCTGAGTGGACTCCAGGGGATGATGGAGGACAGGAAGGCCTGGAGGAATGTTGTTCATGGGGTCATGATGGGTTGGACATGACTTCGCGTCTAACAACAACACCAACAAGGTTGTTCCACTTCCACACATGCATGTTTGCCCTTGTTCGATGTGGACTATTGTGAAGTCTGAACCTCCCCAAGGGTGAATGGGTGCAACAGAGTGTGGGTATGGTGGTACACAATAAGACTGGGGGGGGGGGGGAATGAAAATATGATATGGCTTTTCCTTTAAAGATAGGCTTCTTTTGTTCAATTTATCACAGTGTACTTTTAACATTCCTGTTTCTTACATCAGGTAGACATCAAATGTAGTGGCACTCTTTGATACAATTAAGTAGGGCAAATAACTGTTTCCCAAGTGGACTCATAAACTACTGATCTCTGGATTTTAAAATAAAATCTGCATAGTTACTTTCCCTGCTATCCAGTAGCATACTTGTCTTCATAGTTGCCTTGTCTTCATAATAGATGTATCTGTGTGTTCTATGTCCTCACAATTTTACCACACAGTGCAAAATTTGGTAATTTGTGCTTCAGCAACCTGAGTACCTGAACATAGTTATTAATGTCCTCTAATGAAAACAAACAGGCAAATAAACACTTAGCAATTGTGGCTTCAGTGTTTGCCTTGAAAATATTTAGGCAGCATTTGGGAAATCTCTGAAGTCAGAGATAGCAGTTGAACGGGATTTCAGATAGCCAGAGAGCAGAATAATTTGCCCTTTAAGAACTAGCACAGCAACATATTACCCAAAGTAATCTAGTCAGACTTAATTTGTGTAATGCATTCTAGGTGTTGGGTTGGGAAGAGTTTTACCTATCTAGCTTCAGGATTTATGAAATATTTTAACACAGCCTTGTGCAAATTCTGCATCCTGCACTGATGAGCCTTACATGCCATGGGGTCTAAGTATGTGTTTATTAATGAACTGCATAAATGGTACAGTTACTTTTAAATGTTTTAGAGCAACCCTACATCAACATTTTGTTCATATAAAATACTTTATACATTGACATATGTTTTAATAAATAAGGATAAAGGGTGGATAAAAGAAAAAAGGATTGTGCACTCGTAGGAATATAGACAGCACAGTCCAATGATACTTCCACTAACCTGCTCAACTGAGAGGATTATACATATCCTATGGAGGGAGCTTCTTCATCTTGCAAAGCAGCAAAGAAACCCAATATCGAAGCATGAGGAAAGGAGATTGAGGTGCTACCTGGATGCATCATATGCTGGGGGAGCCCACCCACTCCATGCCCTGCATAGCTTATTTCCATGGTCATTCTTATGACTGGGAGGGGCTCTTAGTTCAAAGCTGCAGCTCCAACCTCCGAACAAGTTTCTGAGGCCAGAGGAACTGAGGAACTGTGAATATTCTTAGGGTGATCTTGGTGTCATGAGCCAAGGTTCCTCCTTTGTGCATTTAAAAGCCACAGACATTTTTCCTTGGAAAGTGTTCCTTATTGACCCCCCAAAGCACAAAACACCCAGAATGAATCTCTGAGCATGCACAGAGTGGTTTGTTAAACATGCCAATACTCTAGGCTGTTCTTCCCTGCTCATGATATGCCATGGATCCACCTCACCTGACTCTGAGAAACTCTCATGCCCTAAGTTCCCTCATGCCAACTTTGCATCTTGGTTATTCCCAGGGACTGCCTGCCCACCTGGGGAGTCTGGCCTTGAAATAAGCATCTCTGCTTCTCCCATCTCAGTGTCTTGAGATGGCCCACATTCCTAGACTTCCCATTCTCCCTCTGATTCTGATTTCTCTGAAGTCCAGCCAGCAGTACTTGAGAATAAGCTCCCAAAGCAGCCATTTTTCTCACCCCCAATAATAGGTTTATGCATTAAATGAAGTTATACTTTAGATATTTTAAATCCTGCCTGCCCAAAGAAACTGTGCTCATGGAACATTGCTATTTTAATTTGAAACAAAATTGTCAATCATACTGAAAGTAAATTAGTAAAATAACAATAGTTTAAAACTGTGTGCAAGATGCAGCACTGAATTACAACCATATGGAATAAAGATCCCCTGCAACAGACAACTCTTCTTGTTAGAAATTATACCTCTTTGATGCGCCTGCTGGCATCTTAAACTGGACATTTTTTTCTGGCTAGAATGTATGAGTGGTGGCTTCAGGCAAGGTCATGTGGTAGCTTCCTTCATAATATTTCTCATGACAGTAAAAGTGACACCAGCCAAATGTCTGAATGCTTACAAGTTAACACAGAGGACACTACTTCAAACTATGGCATTCACACCCTCAGTTTCCAATTAGAAACTTCTTTGGTGCTAGCTTTTAAAACTGGCTGTGCTCTTGAAGCCTTCTGGAATAGCTGAACTCATGGGTATGTAGCGTTTTGGAGGAAAGGGGTTGGAATGAAAGAGGTCTAAGAGAAATTCAGGCTACCTAAAGGACAGTCACAGAATTCCCTCCTTACCAATAGTATACAGACAGATATGCATAATCAATGAGTCTTGTTAGGATAGATAAATGTAGATGTTTTAGCCTGAGGACTCCATTGCAGAGAATAAAAATGAAAGTGAAAATTAGCTCTTTCTTACAAAGAGACAAGTCTCATAGTCACAAAATCACACAAATTTTTAGGTTGCATATTAAAAAAGAATTGTGCAAGAGGCAAAGTTTTAGCTACCTCAAAGCATGTTGCGGGTAAAGGAGCAAAGGTTCAACTCTGAGCTGTGAACTAGAAATATGTCAACACACACGTATATCTGGAATTCTATGATCATGGATAAGATCTCTGCTCAGGTACTTAACATGGTCAAGGATGTAGATGTATTCAATGTTAGTCCTACTTAGAGCAGCTCCATTGATATAAATGGGGTGTGACACTGGCTATAATCCACTGTCTATTTGGGTAAGTATTGTAATTGTTTTATCGCTTATTGGATCAAAGTTCAAAGAGAACAATGTTAGAGTGGAAGTGTTTGATTTGAATTGGATTTGTTGACATTTTTCTTACTGTATTTTGGGGCTATTTTAATGACAAGGGGGTCGTTTTATTTATTTATTTAAAGCTTTTGTACGCCGTCCTTTATATAAATATCTCAGGACAGCTTACAGGAATTTAAAACAATTTAAAACAACTAATAACATCATCCACAGAATTCAAACAATGATACAATATGAAACAAATAAACATTGAGTAAATCAAATTAAATCAAAATAGAATGAAGCAAAAGCGACTGGAGAATCATTAAAACTGTTAACTTTTAAAATGCCACTTAAATAGAAAGTTTTGACCTGGTGCCAAAAAAAGTATGAGCTTGGTGCCAGGTGTACCTCTCTGGGGAGTGCATTCCAGAGTCTGGGAGCCACCGCAGAGAAAGCCCTATTCTGAGTTGATGTCCTTTTTACCTCTTTTAGAGGGGGTTCCCAGAGCAGAGCTTCTCCTGCAGATCCTAAGGGACGTGAGGGCTTATAAGGAAGGAGGCGTTCCTTCAGGTGTCCTGGTCCCAAGCTGTTCAGGGCTTTATTGGTCAAGACCAGCACCTTGAATTGGGCCCGGACTTCAACTGGAAGCCACTGGAGCTGAGAGAGGACCAGCGTCACATGAGAATAATGACTGGTCCCAGTCAGCAACCTGGCAGCTCTGTTTTGTACCAGTTGAAGTATCTGGACCGTTTTCAAGGGCAGCCCCATGTAAAGTGCGTTACAGTAATCCAAGTGGGAGGTTACCAGAACATAGAAACATAAAAAGAGAGCGAGTCAGAAGGGGCTCCTGGGCCATCTAGTCTGACCCCCAGCTCTAACTGGCTCCGCTCAAGACATGCCCACCATGTGCATGTCCAGCCTATCTTTGAACACCCTCACCGATGTGGCCTCAATGACCTCTCATGGAAGCCCATTCCACACCCTCAGGGTCCTAACTGTCAGAACGTGCTTCCTGGCATCTAAATGGAACCTTGGTTCCCTGAGCTTTGCTGCGTTGGAGCGTCTCCTGCCTTCCTCTGCAGGGGAGAACAGGTCTCTACCTATCTCCATGTGACATCCCCTCACATACCTTATGTCGCCAACATATTCCCTCTGAGTCTTCTCTTCTCCGGTCTGAAGAGAGACCCAGTTCCCACAGTCTCACCTCATACCCCATCCCCTGCAAACCAGCCACCAACCTTGTGGCTCTATGCTGCACTGACTCTAACCTGGCTATATCCTTTCTGTAATGAGGGACCCAAAACTGAGCACAGTACTCCAGTTGCAGGTGCACCAGAGTCGTATAGAGTGGTAGTAATAGCTCTCTCAATCTAGAAGCCACGCTTCTGGCTATGCCACCAAGGGTGCTGTTCGCCCTCTTGACCACTGCATCACACTACTGACTCCTGTTTAGCCTGCAGTTAACCAGTACCCCGAGGTCCCTTTCACAAGTGCTGCTCTCCAGCCACTTGTCACCTAACCTGTACTTATGACACCCATTCCCATGCCCCAAGTGCAAGACCTTGCACTTATCCACATTGAACGCCATCCTGTTGTCTCCTGCCCACTTCCATAGCCTGTCCAGATCCTTTTGGATCTGGAGTACCTGCTCCTCAGTTGTGGCCACTTCTCCAGTTTTACTGTCGTCTGCGAATTTGATCAGCAGACTGTTCATTCCTTCTTCCATGTCATTTATGAAAAGATTAAACAGGATCGGCCCCAGGACAGAGCCCTGGGGGACCCCGCTTGTCACTGGCCGCCATCCCGATGATTCCCCACTAATGGTTACCCTCTGCTTTTGGTCAGTCAACCAACTAATCCACCAGACAGTGCTTTGGTGTATCCCAAAACTCCTCAGTTTCTCCACCAGGATATCATGGGGCACTTTGTCAAAGGCCTTGCTGAAATCCAAGTAAACCACATCCACTGCATCCCCTCCATCTAGCCATCTCGAAACCTTGTCATAGAACTCCACAAGGTTTGTCTGGCAGGACCTGTTTTTGCAGAAGCCGTGTTGTGTGACTGTCAGCCTCCCTTCCCTATCTAGCATCACTAGATCTCTCTCTATTATGAGCCTTTCCATTGTTTTTCCTACAATGGACGTAAGGCTAACCCGTCTGTAATTCCCCATGTCCCCTCTACTACCCTTTTTGAAAATTGGGACCACTGATGCCAACCTCCAGTCCTCTGGAACTTCACCCATTCTCCACGAG